GGTAGATGGTAACAGCGAAATTGGTCATATTTCTCAGCTGAAAAACCATTATTTTGCATTGTAATTATATAGAAATACCAATGAAGAAAGTTTAGTAAATACTGGAACCATTTTGTATATTATCTTCCTATTGGTGCAGCGTATCCAATTTTCTGTTAATCCTAGGAGGTATGATATCAGGAACCGTCAGGGGGAACAGTATGGTGAGTGAGTGGCAATGAACCGAGTGATTCTTTTTTTTTTCCACATGCGTTAGTATCGTTTTCCTGTTCTGAGTCCTAAAGAAACATGCTTCATCATGGTAAGATATATATATATATAATTCTGTACATCTATAATTGGTTTAAGAAGGGAACGTTTTCGGTGATCTTACGTCCTAGATGCTTTAATTCTTATTATTATATAAAGTTTTCGTAGAATATTTTTGCGCAGTTGTCAACAGCATATTATAGAAAAAAACTGTAGACATTATCGAGCATCATGCAAACTTTCCAAACTGTCCAATACAAGGCATTTGTCAGTAAACTATTTCTGAAAATATTGTCATTCATAGCAGGATATAAGGTTTAGACAGATCTTTGTTTAAAGATTCGGAAGATATACATCAATCTGCTTCCTGGTGGCTCAGGGCTTATAATGCTAAAAATCTAGTTTCGATAACCGCGGTGGGCAAAGTACAAATAGCCCATTGTGCATCCTTGTACTTAACAAGAAACAAACGAAACGTATCAATCTTGGTAGATTGAATGATTATAGTAGATAATATCTATAGGATGTTTACTTTCAACTTTATTATTTACTAGCACCACTGACCTATGCATTCGCATTATTAAAATTACGAGCTTTTGAACATGCTGAAGAATGAAGAGTTTTCCAAAGTGTCAACTGTAAGGTTGAAACAAAAATCATGCATGTAACCAAATCGATAATCTCATTGGAGAAGTATAGTTTGTAAGTTTTAAAACTCAGGACGATCATTGCAGGTTTTATGTTTATTGTATCTAATCATTTTTCATTATTTGATATATAATATGCTTTAGGGACATATGAGGGCAAAAACTACTTCCAGAGAACAAAAAAGTACAATCCTAGTTTAAAATTAAAACTACATTAATATACGGAACAAACTGGGTCTAAACAGTACAACTGAATATTCATTTGTAATCCTTCCTTCAACTTTTTAGTTGTGTTTATTTTACAATGCTAGAAATGACCTCAAAATTAAAATACTTTAATTTCATTTAATTATATATACTTCACTGGAATTTATTGAACTTATCATTTTAATACTTATTAATGTGTACTAAATCTCTTGCGTAACTATGTGGCTATGGTTGGACTCATATTTAAAGTCGTTGATCGAAGGACTGAATTAGATCTTATATGCATAACTGACATAAAATTATGAAAGTGCCCTCCAGCTGACAGATCTTTGATTTAACAAAGATAGCAGAGATTTATATACAATAAGAGAGCAAGTAGCGCTTTTCGCCCCAATATTGACAATTTATACATTAGATTAAATGTTAAAGACATCTTTTATGACATCCTCCTTTAGGTTCAGTCAGCGCTTTTTTCCCCAATATTGACAATTTATACATTAGATATGACATCCTCCTTCAGTTTCAATCTTTATTACATCTCGTTTTATCCTCTTTTATCCTTGTTGAGTTAAAAGCTTATGAGATTAATGAACTGAAATGAACCTTGTCATTTTAAATTTATTTGATTTTTTTTTTCTAGAGACATACCCTTACCTCACAATCAAACAACATATCCTACTATATATAATACTATAGTTTCTGTTAATTAAACAGGTAGACCTTAGCGTTATAATCAACCATCATTTCTATACTACGATGCTATAGTTTGTCTTAATTAAACTGGTAACGCTTAGCGTTAAAAACATATTGCAACCTCACAATCAACCACTATCTCCGATTACAATGTGTTAGTTTTTTTAAAAATTAAACTGGTAGACCTTAGCGTTAAAAACATACCGCTTCTTCACAATCAACCATCATCTCCTATTATATGTCACTAACTATAAAAGACTTATTCCCTTCGTCACTCTGTCGAGAACGCTTTCACGCACCTTTTTGGTAATGTTCAACAATATACATCGTCGATTAGCAACAAAACTATCACCTGATTGTTTTTTGGCCAACTATGGTGTTTATGTTGAATGCTCAATATTCTTTCTGAGTTGTTAGAAAGGTTAGTTTTTTATTCTCTATTTTATTGATAACTTCGGTGATATAACAGCAAGATAGTTTAATTCAGAATTTTTATGACATTGAGTTGTAGCCAAAAGTAAAATAAAGTTTACCAAGTAGCGTTATTAAATTAAACTACAAATAGGCCTACTATTACTAACGTTATACAGTCAGTGTTTAAAAAGTGTTAAGTGGTGAATAAATGTTAATTAATAAATATTCGTTTGGTATTTTAACACATATATTATCTACTTGGCCTTAAAACATAAAGAAAAATAAACGTTTATTACTATCAAATATCTTTTTCCCTTTGTAAAGACAAAAGAGTTGAAAAATTTGTGTCGGACTGTCCGCACTATGTTTTCTACTTCCTGACCTAGGATACAGTGCAAAGGCTCAAGAGTGATATTTAAGTTTTTACTAAAAACGTGGCGACTAAAGAATTACTTCGAGACTGATGAAATAAGTGAAGAGTAGGTGAATTTTGGAGGTACAGACAAATTCGTTTTAGTTAAATTCTACAATTTTAGTTAATCATTCAACAGTTGTTTCCTGTCATTTTTAACGCGCTTATATATATATATATAATACTATAGTTTCTGTTAATTAAACTGGTAGACTTTAATGCTAGAAACATATACCGCTACCACACAATCAACCACCATCTCCTACTACAACGTGGCAAGCACTTAACACTGTTGTTCGAGAAACAATCGAGATTTGTAATTTATACTTTGAAATGTCAGTTCAATATATCGAAGCAGAGGTTAAGAACCGACATTAAGAGCATTATGAACAGTAGTAAATGACAGAGAGACTTTTTATTATGCTTTAAAATTTTGGAAATTTCTTTCTAAGAAAACTTGGCTGATGTCTGATATTATCAGATACATTAATGTAGACAGATTTTAATCACAAAAACACTACTCGATGATTATAATCCATGTTTTATATAGCGTTTGGATAGCAGAGTACACATTACATACTAGAACACATCTTTATCGGATAATATTAAAGATAGTCACCATATTAAAATAGGTGTTTATGAGTATTATCTACATGTCTGTTAGAGCGTATAATCCATGTTTTATATAGCGTTTGGATAGCAGAGTACACATTACATTCTAGAGCACATCTTTATCGTATAATATTAAAGATAGTCACCATATTAAAATAGGTGTTTATGAGTATTATCTACATGTCTGTTAGAGCGTATAATGCATGTTTATGAAGAATTGTAGTTAAAACGATGGAGTGTTAAAATATATAGCGTCTATAACCTCGGCAATCACCCACTTATTCTTGGTGACGCCAAATGTCTCTTCCCCTTTACTTTTCAAATTACAAGTACCATCTCGCCATCTTGCATTACATGTGGCAGCTTAAGAACTCTGTGTAAACATTGGACGTGAAAAAATTCCGCACGCTTGCTTAACCTACTTTTTATGTTGTAGCTGAGCTGATAAAAAGAAAACTCGAAGTACTATACTGAAATTAGTAAAACCAAACTAATAAAGCGATACCAGCATTAACCGCCCCTCGCAGGCCATTAATCACCATCGTAATCTATCCACTCTAGAAGATATTTGTCTAAATAACAGCGTTAAGATGTTCTTACTCTTGCAATTACTAACCTTAACAATTATCCTTTTGCTCATTTATCATTTTCATCTTTGACCACAATCGTCAGCAATGACAACTATTTTGCGAAAATGTCTCAAAAATGAAACTTAATTCAAAGAAAGATTAATAGCATTCGATACGTGAATGTAAAGTTAAAAAGTGTGTGTGACAGTATAAGAAACATACAAACAGCCAGAGCGAAGCCCTGTCCTAGTTCATGCCCCAATAGAAAATGTTTTTAGGCTTTTTTAGTCAATTACTATTGAACATCCACCATGAGTTTGTTGGTTTTACAAGCCACTTTTGAAAGCTTCTGTGATTATGTTCTAGAGCTGGTTAATATCTGTGTTTAAAATAAAAAATATGTATATTATGTATGTGCATGAGGTAATGTCCTTTTAATAGAAGTATCATACTTAGAAATATATCTTATTTAAAATAAACGAATGTTTAATCTTAAAGAGTTATCCATATTTAACATAGGTGTTTAATAAATAAAATACAGAAAAGTACTTGAATAATTACGGATTAGTGAACAACAATGAAATAAAGTCTGATGAAGATTCCCGAAGAGAATTGAAAGTTAGCTAAAACAAACACTGGATGCAAGATATCAGCGTTGTGTAAGCCTATTGTCTTTAAGGTACTTTTTTATTTTGTGCATTTGAAACAATAAACCGTCGACATTACGACTCTTAAAGATACCGAGTACGCCATCGACATGTTTGCGCCACAGTTTTATAAAACCTGTGAAAGAATTTAATCTAAAGATTTACTCGTTTAATGGTTAAGTTATCTATAGACGATGAGACTGAAAAATTCATAGCGTTTCTGTAACGTTGCTAATAAATGACACCTTTAGTGCCCCCTGGTGGCTCAGAGGTAAGTGCGAGGACTTACAAAATCGGGGGTTCGATACCTTCAGAGAGAAAATCATACAATTACAGGTTTCATACAAATAAAGAGAGGTACGTTCAGTGCAATTTGGTCATATTGGGGTCTTGTTTGTGAATTTGGCGAATTATTTATTATTTACTCAGAAAGAATGGTTTCGTAAGTGTAAAGGTTTATTTCTAGGTTTGAATCGGACATTTTGTCGAACGGAAGATTATGTTTGGTTTGTTTATAAAGTTCTTAACATTCTACTTTTCATTTTTTCAGCAGATGTCGCCTACCAGAAGACGCCATTAGCAGCAAGTATAAAATTCCCAACGACAGAAAGAAACAAGGTTCCTTCATCTGATTACCTTATTCTTAACTCGCCAGTTTCCTTCTCCTCGCACTACAAGTCGAAGCAAGTTCTTCCGGATCTAATGAATTCTTCAACAGTGCACACTCTTCCTCAACCCATATATCCTCGACCGCAACTGCCACTGGCCCCTCTTCCTCTTCTGCCTGCGTACGCAATGGCTGGTTGTGGCCATCAGTTCAGTGCATATCCTTTTCTTTTTGCCGCCCATTCTTTTGGGCAAACCCCCATTAAACCAGACTCCGTAAAAGGTGTAGACGTTTCAGGTATGACATTAGAAAAAATCTCCCAGAAACTCGTTAATGTAAACACCCGACCAGTGGTATCTAATATTTTAGGTACTACCAAACATAAGGTTTCGAAGTTTGACTTTTCTCGGCTGGCAGAATCCGCAACCACCAAAGATGACGAGGTAGCTTGCAAGGAAACTTATCACTGCCAGAAGACAACAGGAGTTGATAAAAATATTTCTAAGGAATCCTACCACTCCCAGATTCCATCAATCATTCAATCGACAGCTTCTCTTCCAGTAATAACAAGTCATTCATTTCCGTTTATGACACCTTATTACAGCATCGGACCGATTGGATTTGGTGCGGAGTTCTTCGAACGGAAGGGTCCTAGAGGTAGAGGGTCATCAAGGCCGAAAAAAGAGTTCATCTGTAAATTCTGCCAGCGTCGCTTCACCAAGTCTTACAACCTGTTAATACACGAGAGAACGCACACGGACGAACGACCTTACACCTGTGACATTTGTCATAAAGCTTTCCGGAGACAGGATCACCTACGTGATCACAGGTAAATTTCCATAATATTTCTTTTTGTTTAGGCATAAGCATTAATACGCACTTTTATGGAATATTCTATTGATATAATTTTTCAAGCCCTTTATCTGATTGTT